GCAAATACAAACTCTAGCCAAAGGAAGAGAGAGTCAGACATTTGGTGCATAGCATCCCTTCATGTATACAGAAATGTAACAGCAGAGTTCCTTCTTGCCAAAGGTGGGCATTATGCCATTCCCCTTCACATAAAGACAAATAGGCCTAGACCCCAGCCTAAGTGTAGGTATGGGTGGCATTTATGTACATCATCGTATATTGATGTCAATGCAGGCATCAGGAATACCTCACAGAGAGGCTATGTCACACATCCACATCAACTGGCACTCCCATATTAACAATTACACACACACATACATACACAGGACAAACATGGTGATACTTCATGGCTACGACAAGCAGCATAAACATACATGGTTTCATAGTTTAAGATTGCAATAGGACTCCAATACTCTGGAGTCCTATTGAACTTAATGGGACTTACTTTAGAGCAAGCATGTCAAAAATCTGCTTACGCATGCATGCGCACGCGTGCACACAGAGAGACTTATTGTTATCCCACTTTATTTAAATCATTTCTCATATAACTGCTAAAGGTATATATCGACAGGAAGGTAACTCATAATTCCTTGTTACTCTACTCCTGCACATTTTTCCTTGCCTTTCCTAAGACCCCTATACGATACCCGTCGTTTGTAACATCATCTTGTTTAGCAATCATTTGCAGCTACAATGGTGATTAGGACTAATTCTTGCATTTATGACCTTTGCAGGTCTGTAAAGCAAAGGAAAGCTGCAGTAAGATCATGAGCACATTTGCAGTTTCACTTAGCAATGGCTTCACTTAGTGACCCAATGCCGGCCCCAGTTGTGGTTGCTTAATGAGTTGTTTGCAGGAACTCACTCCTCCAGAAGACTACTGTAGTGTGGGTGGCGCTTCTTTAAATTACCTCCTCCAGAACTTTGGACTGCACTGCCTGTGCCTGAGGAGGGAAGTGATTCCCATGCCTGCACCTCATTCTGATTCATAAAAACATCCTCCTCTCACCCTCCTATGGCATGTTCCTACACATCATGCTGGGTGAATCACGGTTCCAGGCTAGAACCAGCCATGCAAGCAGGAAACACCCACTTCTGGCTTTCTCCTTAAAGGCATTGCCTCCTTTCCTGCTTTTCATCACTTCTCTCTTAGAGGTGCCCCAACCTCAGAAATCCACTCCCTGCAAGCCCCCCAGCACTCCTTTGTTCCCACATTACAGCTTGTTGTTGTTGTTGTCATTGGGACAGAAGTTAGAAAGCCTCTGTTGCAGACTGGAATTTCAGGTAGGGGCAAGGATACTTAAGATAGACTGCACTGGTGTACAAACCTGGTCTCTTCACACAAATGCTTAGGGCTGGTGATTATTCTGATGCAAAATCTTCTCTCAGAATTAGTGTCCTGGGGAGTGGGGCTGGGAACCAGGGTATGGCTAGAAGTTGCTGCCAAATGCAGCTCTAGAACAGTCTTTCACATCACCATTTCTTTCAAAAGGGACAAACCGTGGGCTGGTCATACACTTTCAACATGAATTGTCAGCAAGTCCTGTTGCCACTATCAGATTACCTCTATTGCCAGTGGGCTGGAACCTGGGGACTTGATCCTGCTGACAGAGCCATATTTGTTTCTAAAGGTCCTAATTGCTGATCTTCAACTGCAGATCTACTGCATAATCTGAGAAGGGATGTCCAGAATGTTAAGCTGAGGCCTCTCTGAACTCCATGCTCCAAACGCACACTAGGAACTGACAAGGACTTTGGATAGATGTTCTCTTAAGCATGTAATGTCTCAGCAGTGATTTTGTTCCCTGAGGTACCATCCTAATATGAGCTTTGGTTTACTCAGTTCATTGAGGCAGCCCTATGCCAAATTGGGAGTATGTTAAACTAAACATAATGGGGCTTATTTTTGTGCAGGCATACATACAATTGCAAAGTTTAAGAAGCTTTGGGAGATTTTAGGAACCTTTGTCCTGTCAATGCCTCTTAACAATACAGGTAGTCCTCGACTTATGACCTCAATTGAGCCCAACATTAAGTGAGGCATTTGTTAAGTGCGTTTTGCCCCATTTTGTGATCTTTCTTGCCACAGTTGTTAAGCAAATCGCTGCAGTTAAAGTTAGTAACATGGCTGTTAAGTGAATCTGGCTTCCCCATTGATTTTGCTAGTCAGAAGGCTGCAAAAAGTGATCACATGACCCTGGGACACTGCAATCGTCATAAATATGAGTCAGTTGCCAGGTGTCTGAATTTTGATCACGTGATCATGAGGATGCTGCAATGGTTGTAAAGTGTGAAAAATGGTCATAAGTCACTTTTTTCAGTGCTGTTGTAACTTCGGTCACTAAACAAACTATTGATAAGTCAAGGACTACCTGTATGTGGGCACAAAGGTACTGATCCTGGAAAGGAAACAGATCCATAGAGAGGATGGGAAACTTGCTTCAAGGAAGTTTTCCTCTAGTTCAGGGGTAGGCAACCTCGGCTCTTTTATGACTCGTGGACTTCAACTCCCAGAATTCTTGAGCCAGAGATGGCTCAGGAATTCTGGGAGTTGAAGTCCACGAGTCATAAAAGAGCTGAGGTTGCTTACCCCTGCTCTAGTTCTATAGAGCTGCAAGACAAAGTCAAAGCCTATGAAAAATGGTGGTCCCAAAGTTGCTGGTCTGATTTTTTTGGGGGGGTATTTCATTTGGTTATAATATATTTAATGTTCCTGAATGGTAATGTATTATAGAAAGAGAGAAGTTGGTCTTTCTCACATTTTTTTTTAAAAAAAGGCTTAGAGTCAGTAAGTGCTCATATTTGAATGGTATAAATTCCATTCATTTCAATCATGCTTCTGCAGGCAAACTTCCTCTGGACTGCATCTTAATAAATTAATTGAGGTTGGCACTTGCTTGTAGGATCTCAGGCCAAAGCTGCCTATCTGCAAAAAGGATTAAAATTTGTCCATATTAAAACTTTTTTGTTTGACTCCCGAAGGAAGATCAAAAAGATTAATGACTAATAATGACATCCATGGTGAAAACATAAAATGACAGCAATCATACATTGATGGGTTTTTTTTCACCAAGAGTTCTAGCAAATGCCAGCCTCATTTCAGCAACCTCTAAGTGAAAGAATAAAATTAAAACAGAAATGTTCCCTCCCTCATTTAAAACATCGGGTTTTTTTAAGTCCACGCTTTCTTAATATGCATTAAGTCTATTCATACTTACTACAAGGGAGCAGTATGAACACAAGCCTGCAGATTCAGATTGCTTGTGCAGGTGATGTTTTCAGAAAAAATATCCCCTTAATTGCTCGTATGATTATATCTCAGTGTAGCTTCAAAAAGACAAGCTAAGGAAGGAAATTGGAAACCTACTTCAGGATAGGAAGGGGAAGGGGTGGCTACTGAAAGGTGGAGAAATGCTTTGTTATTGCGTTTGAAAACATTTTTAGAGCCAGATGTAAATCCAGTCCTGGAGAATGTAAATGCATTCTGTTCAGTGCAAAATATGAAAAACTGAAAGAATAAATTTAGTAGGGATTATGATAGTTTTGCAATTATTTGTCTTCACTATCCACAAGAGCTTGTTATGCATTTTTGTGCATTTATTTAATCAATGTGTATAACCTTTAGCACTTTTTTTCCAACTTTTTTTTTTCTTTCAAAATTTATTTGGCTTCCAAATAAATAGTAGAGGAAGAAGACTTTTAAAAAGAGTGATAAAAGTGTCTTGGCAAAGATGTAGAGAACATATAGATTGGCATCTGTGATGTTATAGACAACATTAGCAGATATGTACCCCAAAAATACTTACATACATCCTTGGAACCAGCCTTTGCATCCCCCTCAGAAATTAATTTCATATTAATTTCATATTTCCAGCAGCAGAAGTATAATCAAAATACCCTCCGTGCTTCTAAAGATAGGATTGTCCTCAACTTCAGTCACTATAGGTAGTCCTTGACTTATGACCACAATTGAGCCCAAAATTTCTGTTGCTAAGCAAGACAGTTGTTAAGTGAATTTAGCTCCATTTTATGATCTTTCTTGCCACAGTTGTTAAGTGAAGCACTATAGTTATTAAGTAAGAGGGTTGTTAAGTGAATCTGGCTTTTCCCACTGACTTTGCTTGTCAGAATGTCACAAAAGTTGATCACATGACCCTAGTACATTGCAGCTGTCATAAATATGAGTCAATCGCCAAGCATTCAAATTTTGATCATGTGACCCTGGGGATGCTGCAACGGTCATATGAAAAATGGTTATAAGTCACTTTTTTAATGCTGTTGTAACTTTGAAGAGTCACCAATTGAATGGCTGTAAGTCAAGGACTACCTCTACACAGGAAACCTAGGGTTCAAGTGGCTGGGATTATGAGCTTTGTATAGTGGTGGGATTCAAATATGTGAACCACCAGTTCTCTGTATGGATGCCACTTCTGGAAGTCCATTCTGGGCCTGGGCAACAAAAAATTAGCTACCGGTTCTGCCGAAGTGGTGCGAACTGGCTGAATTCCACCACTGGTCTTGTAGTCTTGCGTGCCTCAAACTGAAGACTGGTTTAAATCAACTAAACTTGCAAAGGGCTTAACTGATCAGAGCAACCAATTGCTTTCCCAGGAAGTGTGGGTGAATGTTTTTTGCAAAGAGGAGAAAGAATGGCTCTGAGATGTAGGACCAAAAAAATAAAATAAATAAAAAATGTGGGTCCAAATACAGGCAAGGGCAACTTTTAGAAAAGAGGAAAATTGTACCAAATCAGAATCTTGGTAGTTCAGCAGCTACCCACCCTCCCCATTTCATGTCACTCAATCATTCAGCAGCCAATCCCTCTGTCTCACACACACTCCTAACATAAAATCATAATACTGTGCGGGTCTAGTGAACAAATGGACACCTCCATGTAAGTCCAAGGCAGGTTGATTTGACCACCAGGACAATATATTCATCAGGTTTGTACCGCTTTCTTGGGTCCAATCCCGCCCCCTCCCCATTCTTTGCCATTGCCTGGCTGTTCCATAGTTCCTTTCTTTGTGTCTTTTTCACACAAATGTGGAGTGTTCCTTCATGAAAGATAAAGTGGGAAGATCCTGTTTCGGAGTGCACCGCTCCAAGGAACTGGAACTGCGGAGAGGGATCATGCAACGCTCTGCCGGCTTTCCGTGCCCCATCATCCCCCAGCAACAAAGCACCCGTAGGAACTCCTTCCTCATGTCTTTGCTGCGAAGGGTATAAATGAGGGGGTTAATGGCTGAATTGAGGGTAGCAAAGGCAAAAAAATACTTTGACTGGTAAAGGATGGGACAAGACTTCCTGGCGCATGAAGCGTCTATCAGGAGGATGGTGAAGGCAGGCAGCCAGCAGATGATGAAGGCCCCCAGGACAAAAGTAACTGTCCTGAGCAAGGCCATGGTCTGGGAGCTGGCTTTCTCAGCATGGCTGGAGCGGACAATGCGGTAGATCCGAACATAGAGGACCACAATGGAGAAGAGGATGACAGTGAAAATGGTAACCACGAAGACGATGTAGCTTTTAGAGTAAAGGGGCAGAACAGTGGAGCATTTCTCAAGATCGGACATGCAGTTCCAGCCAAGGATGGGCAGCCCCCCAATGGTGGCTGAGATGACCCAGCAGGCCCCAATCAGCAGCAGCATCCGGCAGTTCTTGTCACTGCTGTAGACCTTCACCTTGGTGATAGCCACGTGTCGTTCAATCGCAATGGCTAACAAGCTGAAGACCGAAGCGGCCAGAGTGGTAAAGGCAGTGCCTTCTCGCACAAACCACTGTATTGGAGTGAGGCGAAAGGTGGCTGGGCCCGAGAGCACGATGTTTGCAATGAAAGCCGAGCCAGCCATCAGGTCCGAAAAGGCCAGGTTGCCAATGAAGATGAACATGGCGGAGTGGAATTTCTTGTTCCTCCAGACAGATATGAGCACCAGCAGGTTCTCCAGGATAATGAAGCAACAGAGCACAATGATGAGAATGGCCGTGGGAGTCAGTGGAGACTCCTCATCTCTCTCCAGCTTATCTTTAGTGTAGTTGTAGTGCTGGAAGATTTTGTCCTTGTTGAAGTAGTACTTGTAGACGTTTCCCATGGCTGGTTACCGAGGTGCCCCCCTGGGGAGGTCTCTCTCAGAGGACATTTGGATAAGACCCCAGCAGAAATGAGTTCATTTGGAACAGAGGAACCAAGAACCAACTAGGTGAAATCTGAAGATGAAAAAAAGACATAACAAATTCAGTCAGGCTATTGCTTAAAACAGCAGGTGAAAAACCAATGTAGAACAGGCGAGGGAATAGGTAGAGCCATCTGTTTTAAATATGTTCATTTCACTTCATCAACATGGCCATCATATGAAGAGGTCTCCCTGTAGGATAATCCAGCCCCCACCTCAATGCTCAGATTTCATCTTTTGTTTTTTAAAGCAATCTTTTGGATTAATGGAGATGTTTGAGGTAGTTGCTAGCCAGTTCCTCAGTTGAAAAACCTGAGCCTTGCTTTCTACCAAATTAATTATGTTGGAGTATACATAATTAAGTACTTTGCTGATTTGTGCTGACAAGCTTAGGGAGGAGTGAACCTGACAATCTCAGTATACTTTTCCATTTGTCTTACCTGAAGTTCAGTTTTACCCTGTTCCTTCATCAGTTTGTAACTAAAAAAACAGCTAAATGAAAATATATATTTTACATATGTATCTTTGCATATTTCAATTTTTCTAATTTGCAGTCTGGGGCAAAACATTTTCCTCTGTATAAATGTTCTACAGTACATTTTATTTTCATCAAGATACATGTTTTCATGTACATTTCTTCTTAGTAGATGCAGTTTTGTATGCCATAGTTTTGCACAGAACTAAATGGCAACATTTTCAAATTACGAATTGTTAGGGACAGCAGCGTTTTGTTTCATGCAATGTCCAAAAGGTTCAGGATGATGTATAAAGTTTTACAAAGCTTAGGTCCTAGCTACTACAAGGGCTATCTCCTTCCCCATAGATCACACTCACACTCATGAGAGTGCCTATTACAGGTCCTAGCAGATATAGGTATTGATCAGCAATTCATTCTGCTTTTTTCAGGAAGGGTGCATGATGTTGTTGAACTTGTTACTGGAGTTTTAGAGGGAGTCAGAAAATATTCACAGAGGCCTTTTAATGGATTAGTGTTTTAATGTCAAGATCATGGTGTTTGTATGTTTCTTGTTTTATCAATTTTTACAAGAGCCTGGAGCTGTTTTTCAGGAATGGGTGGAGTTAATATATAAACAAATGCATGTTGCTATCTTTGCATCAAAATGGGCACCCAGTGCCCACTCATTTTAATATAGGCTTCTGCATAGCCCATCTCAGGCCTGCACAAGAAAATCATTTTCTGTTTATGGGCCCAATTCTAATACTGCAGTTATTAATAACTGGAAGGCAAAACTCCTTGGTCTACTTTAAATTTCAGGGCAACAGGTATGTTCAGAATCTGACCATCAGTCACCTCTTTAGTTGATGCCTTGCCATCTCTCAAAATGGCAAACTCTGAGCGATTCCAAGTCAAAGGCCGACAGGCAAGCATACAATTTCTGTTCCTAGGATTGAGAACCGATATGTTTCCGGGGCCTCCAAAAGTGCACTGAATCCTACAAAAGACTTAAGGATGAAATGTGCACATATGATTAGGAGCTTTCCCACTCTAACAGCAAGCATCTTTTTAAAGAACCACAGAACAGAAACATCCCTCTGCACGGGCATTACAGTACATGCACTTAAATACATCAGATCTTGGATCAGCCTTCCCTTCAGATACCCATGTTGGAAGGGAATTCTCACAGTGGTTGACCCAATAAATCTGGGGAAGGTTGCCACAGAAAATGCTCACTGCACTTTAAAAACATTTGTCTTGGCTGAAAGAGCGAGGAAACTAGTAAACTATCACTTTGTTGATCTTTATTGATTGCCACTTCATGCCTCTACCGCCACTCTTGCCTTATCTACAGTAGGCCTCAGGCACAGCCTCCCTTGCAGAAACCTCCAAGTTTATATTTCACGTACCCCTTTGTGTCCCATCACTTCATAATGGTCTGGGGGATGTTGTTGTTTTTGGCTGGGTCATACAGTTAAATTCATCATGGTTATAATTCCAGATACTAGCTGGGCATTATTATACCAGCACAGGTAGTTCAGTAAGCACTGCGCAAAAATGGTCTAATAACCATGAGTATCCCTGAACTTGGCTGGATGCAATCTCTCCACAGAAATGTCTAATCTTCTCTCCACCAGCACAGGGGAAATCAGGGGCTTTGCACATTTTGTTCAAAAGGCTTAGAGAACCTGATATTTGAGAGATATGGAACAGAGATATGGAACAATGTCCAAGTAAGATAAAGTCTTCCATGAATCAAGTTCAACTTCCAGTCACAACAATATGAAAGTGATTTGCTACTACTGCCTTCTTATGGGAATTCTTTTTTTTTTACTTCCCAATGTAGCCTACAGTCTTGGGATGTCATGAGGTGTCCCCTATTCAAGAACTAATTGCGTTCTGATATTGCATAGCTTTTCTGAGATCAATCAAGGTCAGCTACATGCTGCTGTGAGAAAGTTATAAAAGTTGACCAGTAATTATATAAATCCTTCATGCATATTATCTCTGAAATCATCCTTGCAGCAGTGTTGCAAGGTAGGTCAGTGTTGTTATTTCTTCATTAGGCCAACTGTGAGAGAAATGTGGGTTAACTAAGGGCACAGTTGTGGTGTGACTGGCAGTACAAACTTCCTGGTTCAAAACATCTCGGTCTCTTGGGGAAGATTTGCATCTGCTGTTAGAGGGCAGAAGGAGAAGAGGCATCCTGCTATGGCAGCAAGCTTTTGCACCACCCCTTCCCATTTCATGTGGGATTATTTATAGACCAGCTATGATTCCTTATTCTTGTCCAGACAGCGAGTCCATCCATGCATAGGATGAAGTCAGAAGAGGGATCTGTTTTTCAGGCCACATCAGCTTTAAGAATATATCCACATTTCAGACCAAAAAAGCCTCTTCTCTAGAAACAAACTTGGAACCTTCAATATGCAAAGTATAAATTCTGCACTGAATTATTTCCATCAAACTGTAGCATTGGGGGAGGGAAAAAAAACCCAAACTCCTGATAGCATATGCTCAAATAAGAATGACATAATTGGTGTTCCAAGGAAAAAGTGATTTGCTACATTTGGCTGCTAGCTTGAAAAGAGGTCTAAAACTTGGGTCTATGGCATCATTTCCCCCTGTTCTTTTAATAACTTTGACCCAATAAAGTCTCTTTTTTGAAAGGAAATGGATTAGGAACCAAAAACTAGGTCAGGCATGACTAATATAACCCTTCTAGTAGAGTCTTGGGACTCTGGTTAGCTAAAAGTGTGTGGAGATTGTAAAGTGTCTGACCACTGTGCATGGCTGACAGACTGCATTGGCTCAATAAACCAGGCCCAAGGCTTGAGGAAAGATTAGCAGAACTAAGGTTCAAATACTTAGGTCTGCTGAACACAGATCTAGCTAAAGAAGCACCACAAACATCACTCACTTTTAAGTTCCAGTTTCCACAACTCATGGCTTTTGATCTTTTCAGTCTGCTTTTAGAGAATATACAGTAGAATGATAATGAGATTCCCACATTTAATCAAACATCTGTATAACAATTAAGGTGTGCCTTTGCTTACTTAAGGATATAACATGATTGTCAAAGAAACAAGGCAGATATTCAAGTAATAGCGTTGCCCTTTTTCCCCTCATTAAAGTACATTGTCTTTCAACTTTCACTTAAGTAGTAGGTTGGGAGCCCCACCTTCCCTTGAAACATAAGTCTCCAAAAGTTAGAGGCCTGAACCCCAGGCAGATTTGGGAGCAGCTTCTCACTCCCATGGTGAGTGTGTATGGAATACAAAGTGAAATTGCTTCCCTCCAACTTAAAAAACTAGGCAAGCCCTCTGCTTACTTTCCACCCCAAATTATTAATTACTTAAAAAGCAACAAGACATCAGCCCCTCCCAAGGTCTCTGGAAAGGAGGACGCCTGCTGGGATGGGCAGCACTGACTATGGGACAAACTGGTACATAAACAAGTACTTTCAGGCAGTTCTATCGCCTAAGCAAGATGATGTCATGTATTGCAAGAAGCAATGAGAATTTGGCCACGTGCACCAAATATTGACACAGCTATTATAGGAAACATTAATCACAGCTGATAATTCATTTCCTTTCAGCTGTAGAAACATTTACCGTTCTGGATCTCTGTTCCTTCATTTCACTAAGTTGCTGAACAAATCTGATTCATAGCAACAGGCAGTTTCACTGTATAACAACAGGAACAACAGGAGCCAAGTTGGCCCTTAGAAATTCTTCACCAAAGATGTGGGCAGAGAAATTGGGTGGGCAAGTTCTTCAAATGGCTCCAGACGGAGAATCTGTCTCAAACATTTCTCAAGGGCAGGATTCCTTCTTAGCAGGGATGGTTGCACTGCTACTTAAGATGTTCTCCGGGGACATTTGCTCACGATTACCCTTCCCCTATGATTGCATTAAAGTTGGGAAGTCAGGGAGGCTGCAGACCACGGGCTGATATAATTGTAATGTATTGGTAGATAATGGGAAGGCAAACTACTCCTCTTTCTTGCTTTTGTCATTGCCCAACTCTTGAGTATGGCAGATAAGGAGAAAAATAGCAAGCCAAAGAAGCAGTAGACCCTCTTTGTGGTCCTGGGCAGATTCCTGATGAAGCAGAGCTCTGATAATGAAACCAGAGTTTTCAAGGACAATTTAACCGTTTATTCACATCCTTGGATGGGGCCTTCTATTGAACCCTAAGTGTGTCAGGTACTACTCAGCCTTGTTAAAAGTTCCAGGTCATCCCAAAGGTGTCTCTTGAAGAGCAAGAGAGGCCCAGTAAGTCACTTGACAAGTCCTGCCTGACATCTTGAAAAACTTCCAAGTCAGGCTTGCTCTACAAAACAGATGCTTTCACTCCCTGGGTCTTACAGGTTTGGATGTCCATGGAGATTCTCAGTCATCCAGGTCATGGTTGTCTCAAAGGTGCTTTTTTCAAAAGGCAGCTGAACTATTAGTTCTGGCTGGACAGAACTAATTAGACTATCAGAAAAATTAGTTGGTCAGAACTAATTCTTCCATTCCCCCCTCCCCCGCACTATCCAGCCAGAACTGATGAAAAGCAAAATGTCTTCTTCCTCAAGGAAAAAGAGCACAGTCTTGTTGCCTTTTGAAAAAGCACCTTTCAGACATTACAAGTTTGGACATTTGAAAACTTCGTCTTTGTCTAGCTATCTCCACTCAGTGGCTGGGTAGAGGAAAGAACAGCAACTATATTGGATGGAAAGGATCACCTATTGCCCCTAAAAGTCAATGGCAGGACAGAGAGATTGGATGAATACCCATGGTAGTACCCACTGATGAAGAATACAGCTAGTTTTCTATGTACAACCGTAATGGGATGTTGACCAAGCCATGATGGGATGTGTGAAGGAGGGTTTGGGACCCAGTGGGGTAGGAAGCAGGCCCAAGGCCTATGGGCACTCGATAGGGTGGGAAGCAGAGCGTGAGGTGCCAAGCACCACAATTTTATTCACTTGACTGTGGGAGTGCTGCAGTGGATATAACTTTAGGCAGGACTGTAAGTCCCTTTGTTCAGAGCCATCATAATTTCAAACGGTCATCAATTGAGGACTACCTTCCTCTGTATCTTTAACCCCCCTTTTCCTCAAAGGGTCCCAAAGAAATGATGAAAAATAATCTAATTCAGAAGACCTCTGTAGGAACCACAACTCTGGCCACATCCAGCAAATGGGGGAAAACAATTCCAACACTACTCCCCCTCCTGAAGGGCATCAGGTTGCATTGCCATTTGGATGATCGTGGGTAATTAACACATGCATGCACATAGCACAGAAGCGCTGCTTGAGCAGGGTCCCTAAGATTATCTGGGACACTACCCATCCTCTTCACGACCTGTTTTCCTTGTTACCTTCTGGGAGGAGGCTTCGTGGTATCCGAAGCAGAACATCCAGATTCAGCCAGAGTTTCATTCCATACAGCATTAACCTTGCGAACTCTCAAGCTTCCTCCTTCCGTTATATATTCAAGATGGACAATATTTAATATTTATTTGTTATGTATATGTAGGGATGTGGGTCTATACACATGTTGTTCATAGTATGTTTAGGTGTGTGTCATGTATGTGTTTCACTTTGAGAGCGGGCAACTAAATTTCATTTTTGATGTGTGCCATCGTGCCCACAGTATAAAAATGACAATAAAGGTTATCTTATCTTTTAAAAAGAAAGCAAGTTACCTGGGGAGGTCCTTAGTAAGGTGTGGAGGGGCAGCTTGCTGGCCTGATTCAGAAAGCCCAGGATTCATCTCTAGTTCGGATTCCCAGCCTTTTCAGCAATAGTCAGCATTACATTTTTCTGAGGAAATGTACAGAAAGCAGAAGAATTAGCAGATGGGTCATTCTGTGTCACTTCCAGCTTCTTACAGTCAGACGTTACATTAAATTTCTACTTCACTATTAAGCCACCTCATTGTAAAACAGCATACTGTATAACTAACTGAAACAATAAGCACTGAATAAAGATGCAAATTCTGACTGTTTAAGATTATTGCTGTTGACAGCAAATATATGAGATCCCATAACTGAGCTGCAGATTAACATTAGTACAAAACTCCAGGTTTGCATCTTTAAACATGGCTTTTCTCCATTTCTGTGTAATGCAGAGAGAACTGCACGGTGGTTTAGAGCAGAGTTCCCCAACATTTCCAGCTTTGTGGACCAGTGGGGGGGAGGGGATGGTTTACGCAAGTGGCCAGCAACCACATGTGCGCATGCAGCTCCATTTCCACAAACAGCATGTATGCGTGCCTGCTGCTTCCGGAAATGGAGCACACGAGCACATGCTCACCTGCTGCTTGCACAAGTGAGGATCGCATGCCCACAGCCCAGTTGCAAACCCCTCACGGCCCACTAGTGGGCCACGGCCCACAGGTTGGGGACCCCTGGTTTAGAGCAAGATTTTTCACAAGGGCATGTGATTTAGTGTTTCATGAGAACTTAATGGAGAAAGAAGAAAGTTCACTGCGACGGTCAATCTTCTGTCACTAGAGCTTTGTCTCTTATTAGAATTCCTTTTTAATCAACAGGTTCCAAGGCCTGAAAAAGTTTGAAACCCACCTAAAAAACCTTAAGATTGAATTTGTGCTTGATCCTTCCTGAAGATCATCCACAACTGAAAATCTTTGCTGATTTAGTGTTCCAAGCAGTATGTATCTCTGGTTCATGAAATGTTTACCTATAAATGTACCCTTCTGATTTCTACAAAATTGCTGCCGTTTTGATTTGAAAGATCTTAGCTCCCTATCATTTTAAGCCAATTTCCAGCCCATTTGACTGCAATTTACACCGAAACATATTTGAAAATATACTGGTGGCACCTAAAGGCAAACGGGAAACTAGACTTTTGAAAAGATAAAATCTAATGAGCAGGACTACAGTGTCTTCTGATGTTCTTTCTTTTTATCCATTGGTAGAAAATTAGCCAAAGTCAATTAGATAAGATAGTAGAAAAAGAGGATGCCTGATATATTATGCAAGATAGTTCCTTTTACGTCTGCAGAAACATCAGTCTAGAGTACTTCCATTTTGAAAGCATCTCCAGATTTCTGACTTCATATGTCTGTCTTAAAATATGAAGATTATGTATTTCTGGCTCATGTATTTGAAAATGCAGTAAAAACAGCCTTTCTTTAAGTCACTACCCCTCTATAGAGCTTGTGTAAAACTCAGCCTCCCATTTGCAGGAACTTCTAATTTATCTTATGGAGTTTTGCATGTCAGGGAAAATGGAACATGATCATTACATCATAATACAAATAATGCAGCTTACATGTTTGGATCAGGTGTCATGACATCATTATGTAATAATGCCAATTAAGCAATGGCATGATGGCATATCTCATTATTTTGAATTGTCATGGTTTCTGAAAGATGCCATTGCTTCCCAGATTTTTATTTTTTTTTTGCAGTCAGACAAATGCACAGCAACATCCAAGTAAAAACATGGACATTTGTGTGTGCGCCTATACAAGCAAATTGCTTTATTTCCCTTTTGTATGGTATAGCAGTGAGAAGATCTTTATTATAGCAGTACTGAAAACAGCTTGCGGGATTTCTGCTGGGTTTTTTCCCCCCAGATAGGCTAAGTTAGCACATTTGAAGAGAATTGTGGGTTCCTCTTCAAGTTATTTTTGTGTGCTTGTGGACTAAGAAGCAATGCTACATATGGGCAACATACATAAATCTGTACATTTGCAAGAAAACACATGTAGAAGTTGAAGCTCTGTGCAAGTTCCATTTGTGTAAAAAGATAACATGAAAAGTTGCCTGAACCACTTCACTACATTACTGTAGTAATCTGTCTGTGAGGCAAGAATACTTGTGTATTTTCCCTAATACAATATTAGGTTTTAACCCAGCAAAGAAAAAAAGATTTATACTTCATGCAGCAGGGTAATGGTGCCAAATAATAATGAATTTGCATAACTAATTCAGCCACTCAAGTTACATTCCTTCTAGAAACACATGCATTTTTCAGTCTAGTTCTCAAAAATGTAAATCATTAGAGGTTCACAGTCTGGGACAGCAAATGGCTGATAATGCATAAAATAACAAAGTATGCACTGATGCGAGTCTGCTAAAAAAAGCAGAAAACAGAAATCACAGAGGAAGCATCTCGTAAGTGGTTAATGCCCACATTTTCATTTCCACTTGTACTGAATTGGAAATGTTTTGCTATCTCTTCTCTCAGCTTAATAATTATGCTAAGCACAAGCTCATAGACAAGAAAAAAGAGAGAAAGAGTGCTTTTCTTCCTCTATCTGGAAAATTCTAAAGAATGTAATTTAAGCTTTCACGCCACTGTTATTTTACTACTAATTCCACTTCCTCTTAGGAAGATCACTGACATTTTTTTTCTTTAAAAAAATAATGTTAATATTTTTACTGTATGAGATTGGTTGCTTGCAAGGTTTAGGAATAGTCTTCCCTAATGTCATGTCCTGGAAATGGGTTGCTCTGTCATATTCCTTATCCACAGCCAGCAAGCTGGTAACTGTGGGTTTTAAGAATTATAATCCAACCCATATGGAGGGTATTATGTTGAGGCTGATAAGGCTCGATAAAGTCTGAAATAAGCACATTAGACAGGAAGGATAATGTTTTTCATGCTTTTCAATTGAAAATGTCAAAAGAATTCAGTTGAGAGCCCATTTTTGCAAAACAGCCTTCTACTATCTGCTTGGATTTGTGGAACACTCGGATTTTATTTACATCTAACATATCCCCACTGATGGTGGACATAGGACAAGGGAAATGAAAGAAGTGATCAGCCATTTTTTTGTCACACTTAAAACTTAGAATGTCCATCTCACAACAGACAACTCAACAAGTGTTTCATTTAACACTGAAAAACAGAAACATGAAATCATCTTCATAATAAAAGAGCAAATGAGCCACAGAGGGCACGGACACTTCTTCTTCCCCCCAGTTCAAGGGAAGGGAAAGTTTCTAGAGCAGGGGTCTTCAAACTTGGCCCTTTTATGATTTGTAGACTTCAACTCCCAGAATTCCTCAGCCAGGCACGCTGGCTGAGGAATTCTGGGAGTTGAATTCCACAAGTCATAAAAGGACCAAGTTTGAAGACCCCTGTTCTAGAGGCACCCTTATCCCAGCCTCTAATCTCAAATCCAGAACAATGCTTTGAGACAGCCTAGGGCAGTGGTGGCGAACCTATGGACGGGTGCCAGAGGCGGCACTCGGAGCCCTCTCTGTGGGCACATGTGCCATTGCCCCAGCCTTGCCTCCCCCTGCGACCCCCTCACCAGCAGCTCCCCTGGAGGAGAGTCGCCCCTGAGCATGGCCCACGCAGAGCAGCGCAGCCAAGGACATGGCAGCCAGGCAGCGTGGACAAGACTCTGCCCTAACACCCCATCGTGCACAGTTGATGCTGCGGGTGCGCAGGCAGAGGACGTGGCCGCCAATCTGCGGCGGGCCCTGGAGCTGGTTAGTGGCCCTGCAGGCAGGCAGGGTGGGGCGGAGCGGGGGCTGGGCAGGTGGTGGAGCAGGGGCAGGGCCAGTTTTTGGGCACTCGGTCTCTAAAAGGTTCGCCATCACTGGCCTTGGGTGTCCTTTTACCTTTGTTCAAAAGTGGCAATAGGGATGGTCACAAAAGCCAAGTCAGATCTACAGAGCCTGGGTTTTCAATGGGAGGCTGAGCCAAGCCTTTTGTGCTGTAGAACAAGGCAGGAAGTCATCTCCCTCAGCTGGGAACAGTCAGCAAAGCTCACATCAAGTGCACAGCAAATTCCCCAGGTTCTTTTTATACCATCACAATTTGAGCTGAAATAAACAGCTGATTGCAACCAAAGACACACACTAAACTCAGCAAAACTGGAAGGGAATAAATCCATATACTATCCCAGAGTCAAGTGGAAATTAGTATCTGTGTATATTGTTTGAGTTTGTGAAAAAAGTGTATTCTGTCATGGTGGCCATGACGCCTAATTTTTGGTAACCCTAGCTCTAATTTGGCTGACAGTCCCTTAAAAATGGTTCTTCCACAAAATATAAGATGTACTGCTACCTACCACACTCTTATCAGGTTTATCCTTGCTTAATCCTTAATCTTGTGCCTAAGCCCCACTGAATTTCATAGGCTTTACATCAACACTAGTAAGGAGAATATTTGTAGCTCAGGGTTGAAATGAGGAGTCCTTGGTCTCTGAGCTTGGTTGTTTTCTTGCAGATGTTTCATTATCCAAACTAGGTAACCTCATCAGTGCACAGTACCCTAGTTTGGGTAATGAAACATCTGCAGGAAAACAACCAAGCTGAGACAGCACCAAGGACCCCTCATTAACAGAGTACTATAACAATACAGTTCATCCAACAAAGCTATACCTAGAAATACGGTAGACATAAAGGTTGCTATCATGGAACATGATCTTGTAGTCAGGTTCTGTCAAAAGCAACCAGTTTTCTGTCCCCATGGTCATCAAGCTAAATTTGTGAACATAAGAATGGCTTCTCCCCAACATTTAGAATTTTAAAAAGGCATTTGGCTGAAGCTTCAGATAATTAAAGAATATGAATAGGTTTTTTTTATTATGGTCTCTGACAAACAAAACAAGATAAAACATTACAATTGGTGGAGGGTTCTTTAGTGGATAATCAAAGCCTGCCCAATTTTATACTGTAGGTGGTATAACAAAAGTTAGCTACGTTCAAAGAAACTGAATCATACTGATTTGCTAACAACT